GAGTCCAAAGCTATGTGTTAAGGTGTGTCTAACATAATTAGAAAATTCCTCTGCCTTTCCTTTTGGAGCACTGGTTCTCCCTCTTCTTCAAGGTTGAGATTCCTTAGACGTCAATAAATATGTCTGAAATACGGTGTTTTGAAGACATAAAACTCTTCATCGAGTGGTGTAGCTCTCAGCCAGGAGGAAAAGCCCTGATCCCAGTTTCCATGGAAACAGATGTTAAGAGTAAAGTGAATGGACTATTTTAAACAGTCATTTGAAGCCTTGCTTGCTTAGGAATTCGGGGCTGTCAACTAGCCCTACACCATTCTGATCTGTATTATACACACGTACGCACAGAGGCATCTCCACGACACAGAAGGAGCACACTCAACATGAGAAGTCAAGCCCTACCGCCCTTCTAGCCTGCTGGTCTCCCCGCTCTGCTGTGACAACTCAGGAATAATCCAGAATTGTTACCAGTGCATGTCCAGGAGAAAAAGATGGTTTCCTCCAGTCAGGTTTAGGCCAACACCTCCAGCCAAGAGAGAGATCAGCATAACCTTCAAAAGGAAGCACACCATTAACCGTGCACAGAATCAGCCTCATAGTGGACCTCTCCTTCTGCCTCAGGTTCAAGCCCAAGATCAACACAAACAAGCAACATGCTCTTATCAAATCTCCTTCTCCTGCTGTGAACGCAGTGTTCGGAAATCTTGAGACGCTCTCTCCCATGCCTTGCCTTTGGGAAAATTCTCATTTAGCCTTTTTCTGTCAGTCAATCTCCAAACATTAATTGTGTGCCTGCCAATTATATAAATACTACAATTTAGAGCACGGGGGGTGGTTAGCTCAATAAACTTTGCCTTACCCAGATTCCATCTGTTCCATCAGTGCCCCCACCATTGCTACGCTTCTCCTATCACACAACTAGTGCTGTCCAACTTCCTGTTACGCATAATTAGATGCCTTTGTTCCTCTACTTCCCTCCACCCTCCCTCCTATCAAAATCCCACCTATCCTTCCAGGCTTGCCTCCTCCACAAAGATTCCCTTGATCCTAACAGTTCTGCTCTTCCTCTCCTTTTAGGCCTCAGATTTTATTCTTAGAGGACTTGCACACTTTGATATGTACCCCTAGTAAATGTCAAAGAAATGAGAAACACCTGGAGAGAGCAGGGCTATGAATATTTTTGAACTGAGCTATGTTCGGATCTGTAGAACCAAGAACAATTTGTTCTGAATTATATAGCTCTGCTGTGATCGGCTCGTACCTGAGGGCCCCTGGCACTGTTAAATGCCTCTACCAAGTCCATTCTCTGTTTGGGGTTGACAGAGCCATCGATGGTAGCATAGGTCAGTTCATGCCTCTTAAGGTGCAATGCTACAACCTTCAGCATGCTGGTCCACTGAGAGACGATGACACTGGAGGAAGGAGGCAACAAAAAACCAATAACCCCCACGAGACATTAAACAAACTCATCTACAGGGCTTTCATGCCTGTTATTTTAAGATTCAGTTATCAAATGTGGCCGAGGTAAGGCTTTCTGCTACCTAAGGGGAAGAGGCACACATTTAAGTCATGTCACACGATTATAATGCTTCTGGTTACTTCTAGATCCAGTCTACAACTTACCTGCTAAATGAAGTCAAAATAAAGTGATGGCTAAACTAAAGTAACCACTGTAGGTTCCGATTTTCTGGGGGCTCATCCAGAGGAGGTCTGTGCTCCTGCAGAATAAGGTTCAGGCCCCTCCCTCTGTCAATCAGATCAATAAGCCGCTAGGGATTCTCTGTTTCCCCCCATGCTACGCTTTAGTTAGAGGTTTAAGTTTTTAGATCAAAATATTTCCTATCTACAAATGCAGTGAATAACATACAGTAAAGTATAATAAATAACAAATGAACTTCCTTATATCCAGACACCCAGCTTAGGAACGTTCCCAGCACTCTGGGGCTCCCTTCTGATCACACTCTGCTGCCTCCCTTTTCTGCATCTGTTATTCTGTTGCTTTTTTTTTCAAGCCTTCTTCCCTCCTCTTAAACATCTCTCCAGATGCTTAGCTTACTCTGGTCCTCTAGGGATTGCCTTTTCAATCCATGCCACAGATATTTTCATTAGAAATCACAGGGGATGTGTGCTCTAACCTCAGTGTTTTCTGCTGGGCCCGACTCAAGTCCTTGATATAAAGAGCTCAGATTTATAACTATCCGCAATATCAAATTTTCTGGCTTAATTACAAGCAATACTTGGGTAATGAAATAACACATTTACCTCTTTTGGGACCCCGAGTTTCTTCGGATTGCCTCCAATTCTGCCAGCAGAGATGAAATCTGGGAAAAGGTTATATTAACATATGCGGGTTTAAGCAAATTTGCTTTTCTCCCTTTTCTCTCCCCTGAGTGAAAGGATCGGTCTCCTCTGTGGCCTCTCTGCATGGTCTGACCCCTACTAGTCCACTCCCCTCTTTGCAGCCAGAGGGCTAGTTCCAAAATGTCAGTTTCCTATTTTCCTCCTCTGGCTGGAGCCCTTGCAGTGGCTTTCTGCTGAGAATAAAGCCCAGGCCTCTACAGTGACCTCCCAGATCCCTGCTGCTCTGCCTTCTGCTCACATCTCCAGCCTCATCCAGCCCCTGCTCACATCATCCAGCCCCATCAAAATTCTTCCTCCACAAAGCCATGCTTTGTCCCATCTTTGTCCATTCTGTTCCCTCTGCCTAGAACAGCCTTTTCTGTCAACTTAATGCCACTTCTTGGCGATCCTCCCCAATCCCAGGTGTCCACTGCTTATGTGCTACGATAGCACATTTTCTTTCTATAATCATGGTCTTTTCCATTCTATATATTAATTGCTTGTTAATCATCTTTTGCTTTCACAGCCTGAGATGTTCCAAAGATGCAGAGCCAGCATGTGTCTGGTCTGTTTCTGTACCTCTAGCACCCAGCATGCATTGCTGGACCAGAGAAGGCACCAGCCTAGCATTTGCACAAGGAGAAAATGAAAGAGCTTGACCTAGTTTGAGACCTGCTCCAAAGGCTGTTGAAGAAGAAGACCTGTCCAGACTGAGGAACACTTGCTAAAGCTTCCCAGCAAGTTCTCTGGGTATTTATCAGACCCCACATTCGAGTCTACATGGGACCAGCCGGGAAGAACACATGGGCAGGACCTTGGAGAGCAGCTGGGTTTAATCTTCCTGACCGCTAATGGGAATGATCTTTCAAAAGGCTCTAAGGGACCTAGAGTTCATCCCTAGAATGGCAGAGAAGGAAGAAAATTAGACCAGGAATCAGGAGATGCAGAGAGTTCTTACTCTGCCATCACAGGGCTGTATCACTTTGGAACTCCCAGTTAAGAGCTCAGCTTCCTTATCGGGGGAAAAAGGTTGTGGTGTTAGTGGTAAGCTGTGGAGGCCCCCACACATGAGGCTACCTTCCAATCTAAACAAACACGCTGGTGCCCGGGCAGGAAGACCATCACAGGACTGTGCCATTTTGAATCAGTAGGAAGACAAAAAGCAGGTAGCTGAAGTGCCTGGTGTCTTGGCAACTTGAGGTTGTGGAACACACTGAGTTTCATATGGATGTGAAAAGCCTAGCGATAGGTGTTTTGAGAAAACTGCAGCAGTGGGACCGGGATTCACGGTCTAGGAGCTGGGGTTGAATCCCAGTAACATTCTGTATGCGTTTAGGTTTGTGCTACCCAAGAAAACTCCCTTCCCCGACATGAAACAACTCTGAGTTTGAACCAAGACTAATGGGCTTACGTTAAGAAGCCCTGCACGTAATTACCTGAGTATCAGACAAATTGTTGGGAACACAAATTATTAGCAACGTTATGTTTTAACCCAATAGCTAACCGAGGGTGCTAGGACCTGGTGCCCAGCCACATACAGTCTCTTCATCTGTTCCTCTCAGTTACTAGTGGTGAAGACCTAGGCACATACTTTAAAAATCTAATGAAAGGTCATCATGCTATTAATTTGGCTTTATTTACTAACAACATATAGGCTATATATAGCATTCCCTTTAACTCAGATGCAGAAAGAACCCTGTACACAAATTTTTGAGTGTGGTTAGACTGAATGGATGGATGCTGACAAAGGAGCAAGGATTGAGCACATTCACGATTATGACAAAACAAGCCCAGCACAGGGAGGTGTATGAGCACTGACAGCCTCTGTGTGTTTACTTTTCTCATCTGTGGTATCTTAGAACATATGCTTGATCTCTCCTGTCCTTGGAAAACATGGCTTCTCTTTATTTTCTAAGGGGCGCTTGCTCCCAAGTAGTTTTCTGAGAGGCCAGAATGAAATAAGCTGGTTGATCTGTTTTCAAAACATGTATACAGATAGGGAAACTGGATGCATGAATGTGGTACACTTTAACCTTTTGGTTTAATATAAGAAACTAAGCATTCTTCCCTTTCGCAGAGGTGAATGATTTGTTCAGGAGGATAGCTTGGAAGATTATACCTGGGAATTCAGTGACTGAGGGAAAAATCCATTTAAAGTGAAGCGTAGACTATAATATGTTAGCACAGTATACTACTGTCTAGATTAAAAGGGAGCTAGCAAGTGCACCATTCCCTTGGCAGTGACCTCCTTTCTAGTTATATTTTTTTAAAAGCCTGAGAAGAGAGATTGAGACTAGGCATGGCAGCCTCAGAAGGCAGTAGAAAAAACCAGCCGCTCAGTGCAAGTTAATGGGCACGTTCCCGGCGAGGCAGCAGAGAGGCAGGACTCGAGGCCCACACGCCCCGGCGTTCCCCTGATAGAACTCTACAGCCTTAAAATGCTTCAGTGAAAACAGAACAGAGAGACTCATGAAGATAGGAGGCGGGCAGGAAACGATATTTGCAGATGGAAGCCTTTCAACAGAGCAAAGCAGTTGGCACTCAGACATCTTCCACAGTCTGGAAGGTCAAGCCTTTGTTGCTTTTCTGAAGCCAGCTGCTCACTCGCCCGGGCCCTGTCTCCAGCAGAAACCTGACCGGCTCCGTCCCTAGGAACCCATGGCAGATGGGCTGGCCCAAGTCACCCTCTGAAAAAATCACTAGGTAGTTAAGATTTTAGTTTTTTTCATGGAATGAAATTAGAATTTAAGACTGGAGGGGGAATGTGACCAGCTAACACCTAACCACTCTAGCCCTGCTGTCAAACGGCCGTACCTGCACGGACAAACGTGGCGCTGTCACGCAGGGAAATGTGGGAGGAGTCCAAGTCTTTCTACCAGAATAGAGGAGACCCCAGTACCTTGGTGCTCTCTCTCATGTCGTCAAAAAGCTCCACCTTGAAGCACTGGCCGTTAAGGGAGACAGAGGCAGATGGCTCTGCGTCACGGAGCTCGGACAAGGTCAAGGCGCTGAGCTGCTCCTCCAGGGAAAGGACCAGGCCTTCGTTCTTCAGTTCTGTCGGATCCAGGGCCTGGGCACAGTCAGACAGGGGACACAGCGGACGGGGAGCTGAGGCCACGAGCCGTGGGACGTGCCAGCGGAGTGCTGACTGCTTAATACGTCACACAGCAAAATGTCTCGTAACTTACCAACAGTGTCTCCACAGGTAAACCATGATTCAAATGTAATCTGGCAAGTTTTTTTCACCAGATCAAAAATAAATCAAATAATGGAACTTTTTAGAGACTTGTCAGACAGATTACAAGAGTGTTCTGTTTTCCCCAGCTGGAATGGGACAGTTAATTAAGCTACTGATCATCAAGATACAATTTACCACCTAAAAAGAGATGTATTATTGCAGCTCCTCAAAAGAATAACACACTTCAATAAAAAAATTTATTAATAAAGAAAATATTTTCAAATACTAAGAGTATTTTTTCTGTTCATTATAAAACAGTATGCTTATTATAGAAAATTTGGGAAAGTTCAGAAGAGTATAAAGAAAATAAGAATCCTTGATAACCAAGGAGAAAATGTTAACTGCCAAGAAAAAAAAAAGAGTAACAGATTCCTCTTAACTATAGATGTGCCTCTATCCAACGTAATGGCAACTTTTCCAATTGTATAAATACTTCAGTTTTCACAACTAGATTTAAAACTAGTAACTAAATTAGCTTTATGGCATCTTAAAATAACCAAAGTATTCATAAAGCGGTTTCTTTCTTAACAAAATGCCACTTTCTATTCTAAAATAAAGCTTATTGAAAAGAAGACAAATAAAAAACTGTTCTCAACATCATGGGAATTATCTCAAGATCGATAAAGGTTAATATAAAATAAAGTAACATTAACAAGTCTCCTCTTTTCTGCCCCACCAAAAGCCAGAAACACCCCCAAGTGGCATTTCCCTTGCTCCAGCAGATTGCCCCGGTTGCAGGAGGCGGAGGTGGACTTGCCCGCAGCCCGACTGGGGCCCCACACACAGGGCTTCGCTTACCGACTTCAGTAAAGAAAGATGACAGCAGCACTGGCGGAGCCTCAGCAGCTGTGACAGGATGTGGACGGTGCTGGATGTCTGAGAGTCTGCGGACACAGAGGCGCCGGGCCCACTGGACCCGAACTCCTGGGCCACTGCCGAGAAGGGACACAGGTGCGGGAAACGGCGCAGGGTTTAAAATCAGAAATACGGGGAAGCCCCGTGAATGCAATGAGGCGATTTTAAACTTCCATGATCTGAGACTCAACAACACAGTTCTAACTCACTTCTCTACCAATTAAGCCAAATGAAATACTGTTTTCTTTATAGTCTTACCTGTGTTTTAATAAAACAGATGTCAAAAATGACTAAAAAGTTTAGATCACCAGGTCTGGTGCTTACAGATCAGTATATTTTCCTTTGGTTTGAGGTCCCTAGGTCAAGTCTCTGAGATCAAGAATTCACGACCCTTGGGGAGTGGGTATAGCAAAGGGGGGATGGTGGGCATAGCTCAGTGGCAGAGCGCATGCTCAGCATGCACGAGGTCCTAGTTTCAATCCCTAGTACCTCCATTTAAAGAAAAAAAAGAATTCACGACCCCATTTCTAGAATTTACCAAATCTGAACCTACACTTCCATTAATTACATGTCCTTCTGGGTGCCCCGCTGCTCACCTCTCATGAACGGGTTATCAGGGCTTCTTCCAGATTGCCGGTCCCCTCTTTCATGCCTTTGTAGGTAGGACTGCAGAGCTGACCTGCCCCAGATCACGAGAGAAAATGCTCATATAACGTTTGCTATGACCAACTAGGTTTACGGTGGTCACTGCTTAACTGTGCTTGCAGTGGGACCTTGACAAATTACAAAACTGGACTTGTTAAATGAAGTCAGCCGCATGGCAAGCATGGCCAAATGTAATTTAAAAAAAACCTTAAAAGCCAAATTGTTTAAAAATGATAACTACTAACAAATACATTAATGTTATAAAATATTAGCATTGCATTTAATATTAATATGTAATATAGTAATATATTATTAACTAGTATTGATAATTTATATTACTTATTAATTTTTATAATTTATTATATTTATTTTAAAATATGAGATATACAAAGAGAAAAAACCTATTCATACTGGAAGTGAGAGGTACCAAGTAGGAGAATATAAATCTTGAATTCAGGGAAGGATGAGAGTTTTAGAGAAAGTGCAAAGAACAGATGACAATTAGGATTACCGAGCAGTTTTTTTTTAAGTTTCAGTAAGAGGCTGGATAACAGGTCAAAGGTCAAAGAGATATGCTTTCCTCATATGGCCCCATGAGGGCCAGAAAGACCTCGCGTACAGTGACCACAGCCTTCTAAGCAAGGAAGCCAATGAGGAGCAGGTTTGATGGGAGACAAAGGTGAGCTGGGGAGGAGGTAAGGAGAGAAAAGGGGATTTAAAAAAAAAGAAACACAGATAGCCAACTTATCAGTAATACCCAACTGCAGTTTGAGGAACCTTGACCCTTGACGCACTCCCAAGCAAGAACAAAAATGAAACAAGAGACGTGAGAAGGTGCTTTTTCACTGCACACACCTTGATCTTGCAAAAAGGACACTGTAAACTGTCTCTTCATCTTCAGAAAGCTTTAAATGGTGCAACTGAAATTTCCGCTGGGGCAGCACCACCTGGGGGAGTGAAAGAGACGGCAGCCGGGATGAAGTCATACAACTCAACTGAGTATCACAGAGTCTGCTCCCCAGGGCTGACCCCGGAAATCTGGTCAAGCCCTGCACAGCGGCTCCCACCCTTCCCTGACAACAGGACCGCTCTAACACACGGCACAACAGGACTGCTGTGACACCAGGTGCGGGACAGCGGCCCGAGGGCCTCCTCGCAGGAAAACGGGAGACTCAGAGGTTCCCAAAGCAGAGCAGACGGCTGCTCAAGCCGAGACCAGGACATGGTCCCTCTTCTTTTCAGCCTCCCCCAGGGACAGGTCTCATGGGATTACCAAGGGCCTGCCCGTGGAGTCCAGCTGGTCTTTTGTTCTCCTCAGCAAAAGGCTCTTCGTTAAAATATTTAACCTTTCTCCTCCTTTCTTTGAACCATTGTCAACCTGACTCCGCCACAGATTGAAGTCGTCAAACGGAGAACAACGGAGAAATCTATTTTGTTGAGGAGGAAGGACAGAGAAGAGAAATGAAGATTAGGAGGATGGAGGAAAAGTTCAAAGACAGGCATAGATGAAAAGCAGACCAGATTTTACATGTCATCCAATCACTTTTAAAAGCGAATTTCATAGCAAAGCTCTGCTAGACGGAGCAAAGGGATCCAAGTCAATAACCACATTATAAAACCACACTATACAAATGTAGATTTGCCCATTAATGGTGTCTGTATCGTTACAACAGGACATATAACTGATAGCCAGAATTCATTCCCAAAATTTCAAAGGCTAGTTAAGAAGTTTTATATCCTCTTATGAGCTGACTTGAATAAAAGCAAGTATTTTAAAATTCAGCATTCTTTTCTGTTTGCTTCACATAAATTGTAGTCTTGACCCCAGGCCATAGGTTTTAAGGCAGAAATAGTCCAAAACATTCCCTGGACTGAAGAAAGATGACTTTTGTTTCTTTTAATTTAATCAGACCTATACTTTCCCATATAGAGGGGCTGGATGTAATCAAAGTCCTCTATCAGCCAGTCAACCAACAGATTATTTTCTCATAAATATTAATTCTTTTGCCCTGTAAAGGTTGGTAGGCTTGCCATCTGCTACACGAGATAATGTGGTACACACTGGAGCTTTATCATGAGATATGAAGTAATTATGAAGGGTTCCCGACCAGGTTCACGTTTACATAACCCCAAAGAGTTAACTTACTTCAGCAGTGAATACATGTCCAGCAAGTTGTTCTGAATGGGGGTCCCAGTGACAGCCCAGCGGGCTTGGGCTTGGAGCTTGCACACGGCTATGGAAGTCTGCACTCGGGGATTCTTAACGTTGTGAGCTTCATCCAATACGATTCGAGCCCAGACTACTCGAAGCAAGGGTGACGAGATACCCTGGAAGGAAGACACGTGAAATCCAACAAGGGCATAGGGAAAAAGTGCATGTCTTCAAGAAGACAAGGGGAAACAACAGGCAGGTATCGGAGACACATCCCTACCTTCAAGTTTGAGGGCTTAGGTCAACTACGCTGAAATAAGAACTAAGCTTAAGAAACCAAGAGTAGAAACTCCAATGAGTACAAATAAACAACTCACTTGAGGTCCCAGTCCTTGAACATAAGATGCTTAAGGGTAACCTGTTTTCTAATTTAGGTTTTCTGTATTCTTCTAGCTCGCTTTTGAGCCACGGCCACGGGTCAGGGATACACTGTCGAGCCTGCAAAATCACTCAACCGATTAAAGTATTTACTAAATTTTTCTAAGCTTCTAAAAATTTACTAAAAGTCTACTTTTATATGTAAGATACTAAGCCAGACACAAAGAACAGTTCCTACCCTCAAGGAGCTCACAATCTAGCCATGGAGAGAAAACAAAATAAGCGTAAAGATAATGACAACACAGTGCATGTATGGTAAGTCCCACTGGATAAGTCAACACAGAACAGTAGGAAACTATGGTTACCAAAGGTACAAAGAGGGGGAGGGATAAATTAGGAGTTTGAGATCAACATATATACACTACTATACATAAAATAGATAAACAAAGACCTATTTTATAGCTGAGAGAACTGTATTCAATTCAACTATATACAATGAAATGTCATGGAAAAGAAACTGAAAAAAATATATATATGTATGTATGTATATGTATAACTGAATCGCTTTGCTGTTCACCTCAAACTAACATTGTAAATCAACTACACTTCAACAAAAAATAAAAAACAAAACAAAACAGTCCAATATAGAACAGTGAGAATCTAGTCAGTCTTGTTCCCTGCTGCATCCCTAAGACCTGAGTAGCATCTGGCATGTATTAGGTAACTCAGTATTTGCGGAATTGATGGAGTACCAGGACATAAGTAAGCACAAGGTGCTAGGAGATGCACTAGACCAGAAAAGGAGGGAAAGCATTCTACTGAAAGGAGAACAAAGGCACAGCAGCATGACAGGGCGTGGTGCGAAGCACCGCCCCCAACCCCCAGGTACAGCTGAGTATGAGGCTCCCCAAGGAGGGCTGGGGTGTAGGAGATGGGGGACACTCAGGTAGGGCAAGAGCATAAAAGGCCTAACATATCATTTGAAAGAATTAGGGTTTTAACCTAACAGCTATGAGGAACTACTGAGGAATCTGAAAAGTTAATCCATGCAAGACGGCAGAATCGGTCAGGAGATGGAGAAGCGTGCCAGAGCTCCCCCCAAGCACACAAATCTGGGAATATCCTGTTGTAATAAAAATAAAAGCATATGCAAAAGAGCAGCTCTTGGAACAACTCTGTATTTCCAGGGGAAGTGCACAAGAGCTATGCAATAAAGCCTCTGCAATACATACCCTGCACGCAGCAACAAACACTTGGGTTTTTTCTTTCTGATTTTTGTTTAGCCTCTGCCCATTGTAGGCTTATTATTGCAACCCCTTTTCCCGGGAGGCGGAGGATGGCAGGGAATAATGGCTTAATACCAAAATACTAGTGCTAAAATACTCGTCCTAACACTAAATTTAAAACACATCCTGAGAGTAGACCCCAAAGACTCTCAATGGAAAATTGCAACAAGGGAGGCTCTCCTATATTCATGTGATGATTACCACCACACCAGCAATGTAGTTGTCATTAGTTCTAAAAACACAGCTAAATACTGCACCAAGTCTCCACCTTTGTCGCTGGGGAGGTTGTCTAGAGTAAAAGAGAAGGGTCAGAGGGAAGAACTCTTTGCTTCCATCAGTAGAACAGCTCGACATTCATGACCTTCTGGGAGGAGGGCACCTTTGCCATCTCTGATGCTGTGAAAAGACTCCTGTTAACCGGTATTGCGCTTCCAACTCTACTTCCCTGGCAGCCAGCACCCCCGCCTCACCTCCACACTGAGGTTTGCACCTGGGATCTCTCCCTCTTGCTTCTTCGTGGGAATCTCCTTGGCCAGAAGGCTGTAGGTAGTGATCACGATGTCATACGTAGAGAGGCTGCGTAGATATAACACAAAGCAAACGGTAAACGATCCCTCCATGACGCGGACAAGGAAAGGTAGAGTTGATTCCTTTACAAAAATTCCTGCGGCTGGAAGGACAGACAGCAGAATTCATCAATTTATGTCCTTAATTCACACACACACACATGACTCTGGAGAGGTCAGTTTTATACACTTGGCTTCCTTATGTCTGACCACTGATCATTTTTACAATCTACTCACTACAGCTAAAACAGCCTCCCTCTTCCCATCCAGGTCAGAAAGGATAACCTTTAGCAGGTGTCCTATTATGCTTGATATGATCTGGCAAGAACAGAAAGTCAGGTAGGGTTGGAAGTTAATATTCAGAAATGATTTGACACGGATGACACTAAAGTCCCAAGGAAGTAAGAAACCCTCAAAGCACAGCTCATCTTACATCAGTGATACTTTCTCCTGACTGTTTTGTGATGGACTTGTGAAAACCCATTAAGCTAGCTTTGACATTTGGGCATAAAACACACATTGTACACTTTCAGCTTACCTCATCTACACTCATTTCTTCTTTCTTTTTTTTATTCAAGTATAGTTGATGTGTAACATTATATAAGTTACAAGTATAAAATACAGTGATTCACAATTTTTAAAGATTATAATCCATTTATAGTTATTATAAAATATTGAGTATATTCCCTGTGTGTACAATATATCCTTGTAGCTTATTTTAGACATAATAGTTTGTACCTTTTAATTCCCCACCCCATTACTGCCCCTCCCTGCTTGCCTACACTCTTTACATGTCAAGATTCTTAGCAAAAAGCACAAATCTTTTTCCAATAAAGTTTAATATCATGCACCTCAGAGAAGTTCAATACTTTGGTAAAAATGACATGCCTGGGGTGGGTAGAGCTCAGTGGTAGAGTGCGTGCTGAGCATGCACAGGATCCTGGGTTCAATCCCCAGGACTTCTGCTAAAATAAAGAAACCAACCTAATCCTCCCCAAAAATAACCCACCAAAATGATATGCTTAATTTGGAAAGGCAGCAAATGTCTACAGGTTGCCTTAGCAGCATGGAAAGAAGTACAATTGTGAGTGATTCCAATCAGTCAGCTGGTGCATTCTGAACACCTAACCCAGTATGATCAAAGTGCAAATCAAGTAAGATGCAATTTACTTCTAAATAAAAATCCAGAGCAAAGGCAGGTCCCTTACAGTACTCAGTGTCAGAGAAGGCATGCAGG